GTGTGGATCCACGGATCCTGATGGTCTCTCAGGACATGGCCTCTTTCACAGAGTGGCCGCTGATGTCCCAGCCATGCTTCTCCCTGTTGGACACTCATCGTCCTTTTTACTCCTCTCAGAACATCGCTTTCCTTTGTTGAATGCCCAGCTCCTGGTCCCTGCTTGTACAGGTTAGCATCCTTTTCTCTTCCGAAGACCCTCAAGTCTTTGAGGGTGTTTCTGGTCACCTTCCTCTAACTACCTTGGTATTCATTGTACAGAAGTTGAGGGAAGGCATTCTCTAGAATCTTGGTATGCTTCCCCTGCACTCTAGTGTCTCCAACTTAGTTTACTGCCCTAAGTACATATGAAGCCACTGAATCTTGGTAGATCAGAGCTTACTCCTTACCTGTGATTTATAGTCTGGGGGAAGGGACTTGCCATTGTTACCTGGTCCCTGCCTCAGGTGAGTGGCACAATAGTCCCTTTTTGGGGGAGGTGTCAGCTCCTTTCTTTGTGCCTATCTCTGTGACTTGGCACACTCTAAAAGAGAGTAAATTGGACCAAATTCAGGATGCTTCAGACCCCCACTGACAGGAACAGAAAACACACACACACACACACAAATGGGAGGAAGTCATAAACTTTGAATGGATACCCCAAAAAGCTTTAAACACTGAAGCAGTGCTCCTCGAATCACGGCCTTTTCCAATTACTTTCTAGGTCAGAAGGTCAGAATTGTCAGTTTGAAAGAAAAAGTACCTGAGATAAGCTGATGTGTTAGGATGCTCAGAGCAGCTTCAGCCAAGCTCATCCGGATGCTCTTGTTCAAGCATTTAATGGGACCTTTGTTGTGACAATTGTTTTTAACTCCCACCTCCCTTCCCTTCAATCCTTCCCACTCCACCGGAGTTGTTGAGTGGTTACCAGAGAAAAAGAAGGGCCTTTGGATGAAGCATCTCCACAAACACAGTGTTGTATGGGGCCCAGCTGTGTTTTTCCCCGCCTCATGACACATGCTCAGCGCCCCGCGGACTTGGCCAATATCCTAACTCTCTGGGCAGCCCGATGCTTGGACCACTAGTAGAACTGAGTATTTTAAATCCAGGCATTTGAACTGTAATCCTTTGAAATAATTGGTTTCCTGTTTTATGAGGTTTGCATAGAAGAGGGGGTGGAAATATGCAGAAATGTTTCCCCGGGGCATTTCCTTCCTTCCGCCCCCAGTCTGCTAAAGATACAGCACGCTGATCATGGTGGCGGCTGGGTTCCTCCCTTCCAGTGTTAGGTTTTACGGGCCTGTTTTGCTCCCTTTCTGCCACTACTGTGCAAACAACGGCTGGACCCAGAGAAAGTCCTTCATATTTTAGCTGGTTCTCACTCTGCAGAGTTCATGTATCTAAATGTCATGTGTCCATGTCTCCTGAGGGGACTTCGATTTTCTTTTCTCTTTGCCATTTTTTATCCTCTGAAATTAACCCATTTTTATTTGTTTTATCTGTACAAGTATTTTGCCTGTATGTATATAAGTACATATACATACATGTATATACAAGTCACGATTATCTGGTCCCTGCAGAGGTCAGATGAGGGTGTTGGATACCCTGCAACCAGAGTACAGACAGTTGGAAGCTGCCATGTGGGTGGTAGGAACTGAAACTTGGTCTTCTGATAAAGAAACAGGCATACGAATTACTAAACCATCTTGCCAGCCCCTGAAATTGAAGGCTGCATGGTTGCCCAAGACTTTCAGACTGCCAACTGAAGTTCTATGTGTGTTGATGCTTAACAGTTTTCCTTAAAGACATCTGACGCTGTTGAGCATCTATTCCTGAAGCTTTCTCTTAGGACCTTTACGATGAGCCTTTTTCCTGCTTCTTACCGTGTGTGTGTGTGTGTGTGTGTGTGTGTGTGTGTGTGTGTGTGTGTGTGTGTTTGTATGTGTATAGAGGCCACAGATAGGCTCAGGGTATCTCCTGATGTCCTTCTTATATGTATTGCTTTTATTGGTTGATGAATAAAGCTGTTTCAGCCAATGGCTTGCAGAGTAAAGCCAGGCGGGGGAATTGGAACAGAGAGAGAGAGAGAAGGTGGAGTCAAAGAAGATGTCATGTAGCTGCCGAATGAATAACATGCTGCATCGGTAAGCTACAGCCTTGTGGCAATACACAGATTAATAAAAATGGGTTGATTTAATTAGTTAGAGCTAGCCAGTAAGAAGCCTAAGACGTTGGCCAATCAGTGTTGTAATTAATCCAATTTCTGTGTGATTATGCGGGTCTGGGTTGCTGGGGAACAAAAGTTCAGTCTGTTTACAATATCCTTCAATGGTTCCGATCACAAATTCAAATTTCCAGTCCTCTCTAACACAGAGATTCACGTTGTGAGGCCATTCCTGATGCATCTCATTCTGCTGCTCTTAGCCAGCCAGCTGCAAACCCCTGGCCCGCTCATGGATTTCCATATCCTCCTGCGTCCATGCCTAGGCACCTCCTCGTTGTAGTAATAACTGCAATGTCTTGGATTCTCTTTCATCCCCCTTACGGTGGTGGCCCCCTCACTTCCCTCGGCAATCCTGGTGTGGTTTGCTGTCCCTTTGGTCCCTACTGCCTTCCTCTACCACCTATACAAGCCCAGCTTCATGGCTGCCTTTGACCTCTTCAACTCCCTCCCCCTTTGAGAACTTCATTTTTGTTGTGAGAACCTGACTAGTCATTCCTGAGTCTTGTCACGGTTGTCAATTTTAACTCCTGACTCCTAATGCAATCTCCTTAAAGCCCACTGGTTTTCACTCGCTGCGCTAACACTCCCCAGTGTTGGGTGTGTATCGTTGGTTGTTGCTGGAGCAGTACTCACGATAGCTAGCCTGAACCTACAATTATGTATAATTAGAAATAATTGGAATAAGACACTGAGCAGGGCGCATGGCATGAAAACTCTATACGCAGTTTATTATCTAATTATCACAAGCTAAGTACACAAAGTGACTTTCGGTGACTTGTTTAGCTGGTCCCCAGCTGTGTGTCTCAGGGACGTCACTTTTCTGAGTCTCTGTGTTCTAACCTGCTGTTGAGTTTGTTGCTCTGGCAGGACTAAAAAGAAAGGGTTATTATTTCGGCTCACAGTTTTCTCTAACTTTGACCTCTTGACGGTTTGACCCCGTCGCTTTGGGCTCACGGTAGCACATTACGGCACTCATGGTGATATATCATGGTGACGGTACATGATGGGGCAAAGCCATTTATTTCCCTGTGTCTAGGAAGCCATAAAAATAATGGAAGAAAGGGCAAAAGTATCACCGTCCTCGGACACCGCCAGTGACCAGAACGGAGAACTGCACTAGACCTTGATGCTTAGGGGTTCCATCGTTCCCTATAAATGTAACAAGCTGGGAGCTAAGCCTATAATACAAGGGACTCGGGGGACATTCTATATCTAAACTGTCGGCCAAATATCCAGCCGGGGTGCCTGACTTTTCAGCTCTTTCCATGGCCAATGTGTGTACCACTTCAGCTTCAATTCACTTGTATTTAGGGAATCCATGCCGTGTACTGGGCACAGATCTCTCTGTGTCTCTGTCTTTCTCTGAGACTATGAAACAAACAGGGTACCGTCCCTTTCCTTGTCAGCCCCCAGTGTAATAACAGGAAGCCAGGGGTATCAGAGGGGCCAGCTACTTCATTCGGAGAAAGTGGGGGAGATTCCTGAGAGTCTGTTCTGATTAGACGCTTCCTGACGGAGGAGAGATTTCCGTCCAGTTTAAAGGAGAGAGGTGATGGGGTGGGAGTGTACAGCCCCCTCTGGGCAGGCCTGGTGGGTGCAGTAAGCCATCCAGCAGTGAGATAGAGCAGGGCTGTGTGTGGGACCCAACACCCAGATGATTTGGTGGATGTGCTAAATTTAAAGTTGCGCTCATGCGGGTATTGTTGAGAGACGAAACAGGAGGCTCTCCGCTCCGTCAGAAAGCTATGTGGGTCCCGAGGAGTGAAGCCTTTGGATATCTGAGATGAGCGCTTGGATTAAAACCATTTGTTTGGCAACACATGCTGAGGCTCCTAAGCCCCAGGGGAACATCCGCTCTGAAGACAATGCTTCTGGGATTCTGTCACAACACAGTTATCAGAACAATTGGCTGATGGGACTGTTTAGATATTACTGTTCAGTAATAATGTCTCTATTTCAGGAAGTAACTGGGGAGTTTCAGAACTGCTTATCAGTCAACTAGATAGATAAAAGCGCAAGAGCAAAATAAAAACAAATAGTAGGATGAGGCCAGAGTAAAAGCCAGAAAGTACAAGGAGCCTGAATGCATCTTCAGAGGTGTGTGTCCCCCCCACATAGCAGAGAAAGCATGTTTTATTTTTCATATAGTTATACAATATCTCTAAGATTCTAAACTTGGAACTTATTGCTGAAAGAGTCTTAGGGTATTGGCTGTGATACTATGTGTTCTCATCCATGTTGTGTGATTTTCAGCCCATTTCTTTTTAAAAGCAAGCTCCAGTCCCAGGCTTTTTTGGCTCAATCATTAAGGCCCCCAGTGATCTTATTTCTAGAAATCCCAGTTCTGAGACCAAAGAGAATTTCCTCTGATGAAAAATAAATGATATAATTATCATTTATTGTCGGGCGTTGGTGGCGCACGCCTTTAATCCCAGCACTCAGGAGGCAGAGGTAGGCGGATCTCTGTGAGTTCGAGGCCAGCCTGGTCCACGAGAGCTAGTTCTGGGACAGGCACCAAAGCTACAGAGAAACCCTGTCTTGAAAAAAAAAATCATATAATTATCATTTATTATTTCCTGCTAGGAAATTCTTTTCTTTCTGCCCACCCTACCCCCAACCAACACACTCTATTCTCTCTACCCACCAAACACAATTCTGATTATTTTTGCCATCTGAGAGGCCACATCAGGTCACTGTGGGGTTTACATATGGAAGCAACAAAGCAGAAAGCCAGGACTTGGAAGGTCCCTGGCCAGGCTTTGATCTGCCCTGATGCCCCACCTCTCTTGAAATTCCAGTGTGAAGCAGAATGAGCGCTATGGGCAACTGACTCTGGCCAACTCCACCTCAGCCGACACGGGTGAATTCAGCTGCTGGGGGCAACTGTGCAACGGTTACATCTGCCGACGAGACGAGACCAGAACAGGCTCCACCTACATCTTCTTCACAGGTATAAGTTTGGTACATGACTGAACTCCTTGAACTGCCAATGTCGCCTCCAAACTCGGGTTCCCACTGTAAGCAGAATATCAAGTAAACTGTTTAAAAAAAAAAAAAATCCTCCATTGGTCAGGCACAGGACAGAGTGCAAGTATTAAGACAGTCTTTGAGGGTAAATACACTTATTTCCAGAGCTCCTTTTCCAGGCATAAAATGAGGTGTAGACAGGTGAAGAAAATTCTTAAAGTCCTGTAGTAGGTGGGTGGCACAAGGAATTGAACACAGACTCTCTGAAGCAGGGTCTATGCCTAAACTGCCCAGAAGGGCGACCACTTGACACCTGTAGCAACTTAAATATAACTGCATATTAATTAAATACAATGTAAAAGTCATCTCTTCGGTCACACTGCCTTAGCGTGCTCAGCTATGACCCATGGAATTGAAATGTTCTCATAGTGGGCTGCATAGGAAGGGATGTCTCCATCGCCATGGAGTCCCAATGCAGAGTGCCACTGGTCTGCTCATCCCTGTCCTGAGATCAGCTCTTTCTTGAACCCCCAGAGCAGCAGGGTGGGGTCGCTAAAGACCTCCTCATACTGGTTCTTATGAGTTCGGAAGCTGAGACTTCAGAGCAGGATTGCTGAAGTATCTGTAACCCTTGTAGTCTCTGTCTCATCATCCGAGACCACGAGAGGACCAGGACACCTATGGGTCACGCTGGAGAGCCCCTCCTCCCACGTGGTGCCAGGAAGGCACTGGCAAAGCCTGTGGTTTTGTTGAAGACTGTCTTCTAGCCTTCTTTCACTTCAGGGAGCTCACACGCTGGGGGGATGAGGCTCTTCAGCAAGGTTCAAGGGTCAGGGACAACACGTAGGAATCGCACAAACTCTCAGTGCTCTTATTGTGCCGCGCATCTCAGGAGAGACAGAGCCATTTCTAAATATCCGGACAGAGGCGCTCATGAGACTTGTCTGAGTTCCAAGTCAACCTGCTCTACAGGTATGTACTGAGTTATGTTCCTATGACCCAGTGATCTTATATCCTAGCCATTAATCAATGTGTTAGCAACTGTTCATATAATTACCCTTCCTGCTCAAATAGCCCCTCCATGGCAAGAAGACTCAGCAGCAGGGCCAGTCCTTCAGCACAGGTGTGACATCCCAAGGAAAGGAATTGAAACTATCTTATTTTTGTCTTAGAAACAATATGGATGCCAAGATTTAAAAGGGCAAGATGACTCTTGCAGTGTTCAGGGACTTGTGGTAGTTTATTAAGGAGTCAAATTCATTTTTCTGAGCCACAACCCTCTTGTTACGCCTTGAGCCCTTCCTAGGACAACATAGTAGATGGATTGGTTGGTGGACACTAGCTAGCAGAGTTGTGACTGTCAAGAGACTTTCTAATGGATGCTCATGGAAAGTCCTGTAAAATCTTCATCTCTGTGTGGTCTTTGTGCTATATGCCATGTGGCAAAGTGAGGAAAAACAAACAATTAAGATGGATAACAGCGACCGGGCGGTGGTGGCGCACGCCTTTAATCCCAGCACTCGGGAGGCAGAGGCAGGCGGATCTCTGTGAGTTCGAGACCAGCCTGGTCTACAAGAGCTAGTTCCAGGACAGGCTCCAAAACCACAGAGAAACCCTGTCTCGAAAAACCAAAAAAAAAAAAAAAAAAGATGGATAACAGCTTCTTATTCTTATTCATGAATATGAATTTCATATTGAAACTGCAGGTGAACATTCTTTGCCAAGATCAGCATCACCCTGTCTTTCCGAAGTGTTAGGTTTGACCTGAAGACTTCACTGGAGCTGTTACGGGTTGATGGGTTAGGGTTTATGAGTGCTCTTTTGAGTTTTGCAGGTGGCTCCTCTTTAATTCTGAAAGTCCTCTTGTGAGCCAAGGAAAGCTAAAACATGTCGGTTTCAACTTTGGATAAGCTTAGTCAGGGCTGGGGAATATAGCTCAACGGACAGTGTGTTTGCCTAGCATGCTCAAAGGCCAGGGTTCTAGTCCAGCATAATCTTCAACCAGGTGTGGTGGTGCGTGCCTTTTATCCCAGTATGTAGGATAAAAAGATGGGAGGATCAGAAGCTCAGCATCACCCTCACTACGCAGTGAGTTCGAGGACCAGCCTGTTCTTACAGGATAAACCTGTCAAGAAAAGGAAGCAAGGGAGGAAGCAGGCAGGAGAGGGAGGTGGTATCATGTTGTTGCTTTACTCAACTCTCAAAGTCCAGGGAGACTTCCAGGACAGGGTTTATCATTTTGCCTTTTGAAGTGTGGGTGGCTTTGGAACCACAGAAGCTGAGGTTCCCGCGGCTGGCACAGGATTCCTTCGGAACATATGCTTCTCAGCTACCCACATGGAGAAGCATCTGCCATTCGTGATGTTTGTGTGTTTGCTGGTAGTGTTTGATGGCAAACACTGTGAGATCTCTTTTGGGGCGCTGCCTGTTGTTAATCTGTATAATGTTTGGCTAAGTAACTGCCACATTTATTTCCTCTTATCCAGGAGGCAGGTTTCTGTTCTCTCCCCGCCCCTCAACACTGAAGGATAACATACATAAAGAGAAGAATTCAAATCCTAAGTAGACAGCTCAATAAACTGTCCTCAAAGGGGCAGGCGTGCAACTGCCACCCAGACAGATCAATGAGAGCTCTCTACCAGTGGGAGGGCTTTCTCAACGGGAAATACTTGGGCAATGATTTTCATATGTGGTGAGACCACATTTATGAGTATTTTACTAAACACTGAATGTGCTGTAATTTGGATTTTAATTTATAGGCTATTAGCTTTGACTTTTAAAAAATATACAACCCCCATGTGTTTAGCTTTTAAAGCACTATGGTACATGAGTAGATCCAAGCATATTTGTAGGGGTATGTAACCTATAATTTTTTAAAGGAACCTTAACACATTTCTTTTAACAGATGGAAGCTACTGCTGTGTGTGCACGTGTGTGTGTGAGCGTGCATGTTTACATGTGCTAGTATTGAAGCTAGGGCCTTTCATATATTAGACAAGTTTTCTACCATTGAGCCATACCCCACTTTTTAAATACTTTCAGAGCAACTGATAAATTCGTTTATTCTGAAGTACGTATTTTACAACAAGAAATAAGACGACTTTTTCATCCTGAAATTCCAGTTGCTCACATTCTTCTGGTTTTGCTAAGTGGAGAAGATCACTCACTCAGCAAAACCTTACAACTCACAAAATATTATCTTTATTTTCTTGCAGTGGTGGGGACTGAATGTAGGCCTTCTAACATCCCAGAAAAATGTCCTACCACTGTGGCACCCTCTCAGCCATCAAAAGATGTCTCTAAATATTATCTACTCTTTACAAATAGAGTAGATTTTCTGTTTCTTAACAGGGATACTGGACACATTAGAAAGGCACCCCTGGCTTAAGTCTAAAAATTTACAAAGTAACAAAATCACCAGTCTGGTTAGCATAGAGCCTAACAAAGGTCGTGGGTGCCCTCTGAGCTATGACACAGTCTTTCCCATAGAAACACTTCTGTGTTCCAGAACTTGGTCCTTGGAATCAAATAACTCCTGCCCCTGAAGACCCTTGGTGTTTCCAGGAATCCTACACCCAGCCTAAATTACAATACAATGGTGACAGGGAAGGCTGGTGAAAAAGAAAGCCAAGAACAATGGCCTGCTTCAGAAGGTTGCAAGGAAACACAGGAAACAATTTAACAAGTGTTATGTGATTAGACCCAGAGAGTTCTCTCAGCAATTACTCACTTAGTAATATCCCTTTACAGAACAATCCAGAAACCAAAGGATTTAAGGTGTCAAGCCAAATCAAACAACATAAGCATGTGCCCCCAAAGCCACACCTCCATAATCCTTTCGCTATCCTACAGATGTTTAAGCCAGTTCTCACCTGTCTACTTTCTCTGAGGTGGAAAAGTCATCTAGGGTTTAAAGACTCTGACAGGTGGCATTGCAGGGTGTGTGTGTATGTACACAAACGAGTGACTGTGTGTAATATCAGGTGAAAGTCCTCAGCTACATGGTAGCCAAGTAGAAGCCATTCCTGAGACCAGGTTTCCCTCTGTCCCTATCCCACCGCCCCCTACCCCACACAGATTTCCCAGATCTGTTTCCTCTTCCCAGAGAAACCCATGCATCCCTCTTTGGGTCCTCTTTGTTATCTAGCCTTTCTAGGGCTGTGAACCGAAAGGTTGGTTTTCCTATACTTTACATCTAATACCTACTTATGTGTGAGTACATACCATGGCTGTCTGTCTAGGTCTGGGTTACCTCGTTCAGAATGATTATTTTTCTAGTTCCATCCATTTGACTGCAAAGTTCATAAGGTCATTGTTTTTCACATCTGAGTAACATTCCATTGTGTAAATAAACGTTTTCCTTATCCATTCTTTGGTTGAGGGACATTTAGGTGGTTTCCAGGTTCTGGCTATTACAAATAGTGCTGCTATAAACATAGTTGAACAAGTGCCCTTGTGGTATGATTGAGCATCCTTTGCATATATGCCCAAGAGCATGGTATTGCTGGGTTATGAGGTAGATTGATTCTCATTTTTCTAAGAAACTGCCATATTGATTTCCAAAGAGAATGTACCAGCTTGTACTACAACCAGCAGTGGAGGAGTGTTCTTACTCTACATCCTCTCCAACATAAGTTTTGATCTTAGCCATTCTGACAGGTGTAAGATGGTATCTGAGTCATTTTTGATTTGCATTTCCATGGTGACTAAGGATGTCAAACAGTTCTTTAAGTGTATTTCAGACTTTTGAGATTCTTCTGTTGAGAATTATGTTTAGATCTGTACTCCATTTTTTAATTGGATTTTGATGTCTACTTCCTTGAGTTCTTTGTATATTTTAGAGATCAGCCCTCTGTCAGATGTGGGATTGGTGAGGATCTTTTCCCATTCAGTAGACTGCTGTTTTGTCTTGTTGACTGTGTCCTTTGCCTTACAGAAGCTTTTCAGTTTCAGGAGGTCCTATTTATTATTTGTTGATCTCAGGGTCTGTGCTATTAGTGTTATATTCAGAAAGTAGTCTCCTGTGCCCATGCATTCAAGGCTACTTCCCCATTTTCTCTTAGATCAGGTTCAGTTGTAGCTGGATTTATATTGAGGTCTTTGATCCATTTGGACTTGAGTTTTGTGCATGGTGATAGATATGGATCTATTTGCATTCTTCTATATGCTGACATGCAATTTTGCCAGCACCATTTGTTGATGGTGCTTTTTTCTGTTGTATGTCTTCCTTGTCAAAAATCAGGTGTTCATAGGTGTGTGGCTTTGTATCAGCATCTTTGATTCAATTCCACTGATCCAAATGTCTGTTTTTATACTAATAACAAGCTGTTTTTATTACTACAGCTATATAGTAGAGCTTGAAGTCAGGGATAGTGATACATCTTGAAGTTCCTTTATTGTACAGGATTGTTTTAGCTATTCTGGGTTTTTCTATACGAAATTGAATATTATTCTTTTGATGTCTGAAGAATTGTATTGGGATTTTGATGGAGATTGCATTGATTCTGTAGATTGCTTTTGGTAAGATTGCTATTTTTACTACATTAATCCTACCTATTCATGAGCATAGGAGATCTTTCTATTTTCTGGTTTCTTCAAAGACTTAAAGTTCTTGTCATACAGGCCTTTCACTTATTTGGTTAGAGTTACCCCAAGATATTTTATGTTATTTGTGGCTATTGTAAAGGGTGTTGTTTCTCTGATTTCTTTTTCGGCCCATTTACCATTAAGACAATTTATTAAGAGAAAGTTTTGAAGGCTTGTGTCCATGATCAGTTGACCTCATGTCTTCCATCCTGTGTTGAGACAGGTGTCATTGTCAGGAATCAGGTAGAGAGAAAAGCCTGATGCCTCACAAGTACCTTTAAGAACACATCTCTGCTGACCTAAAAGCCCTTATGCCAAGCCTCCCAGTAACTTCTAATTGCCAAGTCTTTAATTCAAGGACCTCTAGGGGACAGTCAACATCTAAATTATAGCAGGATGCAAAACAATTCCCTATGCATTTTTCAAGCCCAGCCTTTTAGAGACCCAGGGTGCCGGGTACATTGTCAGCATTGTCTCATCTTGGTGCCGGTTGTAAGACTCTTCAAGGCATCCTCTGATGGGATCTGCTGCCAGAGATAGATGGGTTAAGATGTAAGAGTTAGCCAATGGGAAGCTGGCACTAGTGGGCCAAGCAATGATTTAATTAATACAGTTTCTGTGTGATTATTTCAGTTCTGGGCAACTTGGACGAACAAGCAGCTCCTTGAAACAATCCTCACTGCATTTCTTTGGAGTCATTAAGCCTGTGTCTTCTCTCCTGCAGAGAAAGGAGAGCTGTTTGTACCTTCCACCAGTTACTTTGATGTTGTCTACCTGAACCCGGACAGACAGGCTGTGGTTCCTTGTCGAGTTACAGTGCCATCAGCCAAAGTCACGCTCCACAGAGAGTTTCCGGCCAAAGAAATCCCTGCCAACGGAACAGACATTGTTTATGACATGAAGAGAGGCTTTGTATACCTTCAGCCTCAGTCTCATCACCAGGGTGTGGTCTACTGCAAAGCTGAGGCTGGGGGCAAGTCTCAGATCTCCGTCAAGTATCAGCTGCTCTACGTGGAAGGTAAGACAGACTGCCTTCTTCCCCCAGAAGAGATGGGCACTGCCCGCTGGTGGTGGTGGTGGGGGGAAATACAAAGGCATAGGATGATATTCTACAAGCTTCTTTATGGCATTTCCAGAGCATTCTGCTCTTTTGATCCATTCCCTCTATCTTGCACTCCTGAATTTTCCCTCATTCTATGTTTAATTGAGAAGTCCCTTGTGTCCCCAGTCCTCTTAGGGACTCATCGGCCTCTATGCCTTAACCAAATCTCTCCCAGCATCGTCATCCACTTACCAGCTTGAAAATGACATCCTGGTTGTGCCCAATCCAGCTTTCATTCCTTGTCCCCCGCTATTAGGAACCTCTGCCGGCTTGTTCCCACGAACGTTCCCATTCACTTCCCTGCCACTCATTTAACAACCGTCTTTCTTGCCATGGCATTCTCGGAGTGACTTCAGCGTCTACCTGAAACCATCCGCCTGTTCTCTAGACACCTCCATTCCACTCTCACATCAATCACAACCTGAACACATAGCCAACTACAACTGGTTGGATGTAGGGATTATAAGGACCCATCTCTCTAGCTCCCAACAAGGCCTCTTCTTGCAGCCTTCCACTCACTCGTTTGTTCCAAGGCTTTTCTGATGGCACAGGGATGGGCTGATGAGCAGATACTCAACCAGATAGCACTGCCCTGCCTCGACTTCCTGGAGAGAGTGCCTCATCCCGTTTCCGAAATCGAGGAAGTGATTCCTCTCGCACTGTCGCTCCTCCAATGTAACTTTTGTGTCCCCCGAGAACGCTTACCCTGATGAGGGCTGGGGAGCCCAGTGGTTAACCTCTTCACAACAATGGTGCTCCCCTGGGGAGAGAAGCATGTCTCCCAAGTTAACTGCTCTCAGAAATCAGAATTTGGGCCAGGCAATTCCTTCTATTCTCTGCTGAGGGACTCATAACAGTAGGTCAGAGTTTCTAATATTCTGTTTCTAAATGATAAGCCTGCTTTAACTGCCCCAAGTCTCCACCAAATCCATCTCTTTCCCTATAGCAGCCAGATACTTATAAAAAGGCCCTTTGTATTTCCTGACTCATCGTTACCTCCCTATCTCAGTTTCATTGTATGTTCGCTCTATACATTATAAAAACAAGCTTTGCCAGGTTCCCATGTCATTACATCAAACAGATAATGTCTGCCCTCCTACTAGACCCTACTTGGCTCTTGCCTGAAATCCCTTTTACTGTGGCCCCACTTTTCAAATTTTGTTAAATTTTATTAAAAGTACAATTTTACATGCATGGATGGGTGTTTTGCCTGCATGTGTAGAGACCAAGTGGGTGCAGTTCCCAAAGTGGCCAGAAGGCGGCACTGGATCCTTTGGGACCACGTACACGTTGGGGATCAAAGTTGGGTCCTCCAGAAAAGCAGTCACTGCTCCTAACCACCAACCCATCCCTACAGCCCCTTTGCACTTTGCTCTGGGGGCAGAATTTGCCAGTTGAACCTGGAGCCTCATGAAAACTGAGACGACACTCTTCCATTTCCTTTAGATTCCGAGTGTGGGAGGACCTAAGGTGCCCTTCTTTCTTATGCCTTGATCTCTGTGTGGAGCCACTGGAGTAGAGACTCCAGGCCACTCATCTTCCCTCACAGACCGCTCAGGAATCCTCCTCCCTCTGCTGTCTTTTAAGCTCAGTTCTGAGACTTCAAACTGCTTGCCTGATTCTCAGACTGCATCAGCTTGTGGCTCACTCGGGGCTTCTCTGTGAAATGAAGCATTGCAGTTGCTCACTTGGCGGCTGCCCACTCTGCTGGAATGTTGGCTCTAGGAGCTCATTCCGCCATCTGTCTGGCTCATTTCTGCAGTCCTAGTTCCTAGCACATCTCTTTGCTCAAGACTGCCATCAATATTAGCCATTGAGTGGCTGGACGATTAGCAAGGCTTCTAAGGTGTTATGACATCAGGATCCGGAAGACACAGGCAGCATTTGTGCTAGACTGCAAACATTCGTCCTCATTGGGATATCTGGACCTCTTCTGAGGATGGGTGTCACATATCTACTTGGCCACCCCCACCCAACCAGGCTGCCTTCACTTATTCCTTCCCCAAATCATTCCTCCACCACAACTTTAAAAACTTATTATGTATACAGTGTTCTTCCTGCATGCCAGAGGAGGAAACCAGATCTCATTATAGATGGTTGGAAGCTACCACATGGTTGCTGGGAATTGAACTCAGGACCTCTGGAAGAGCAGCCAGTGCTCTTAACCGCTGAGCCATCTCTCCCCCACCCCAACCTCTATCACCATACCTTCTATATCTCTCATATGACCCTGGTCAACTCGCTAGCTCCTTCTCTGGTCACAAGTATGGCGGAGCAGAGCTGGGATTCTGGATGACTCCCCCTTCTGGACTACCAACATAGAGAGGCCGAGGCAGCTCCTAAAGCAATCAAAGGGGGGGGGGGGTATATGCTAATGCTAGCATTGGCTTCATGAAGCTATAGAGAAGGCAGTTTCCTCTCTCCAAAGAGAATGCGTGTTTGTCTTTAACATCAGAGTTATGGGTCTCATTAGTTCTTCCTGCTTGCTCCCAGTTCCCAGTGGCCCTCCGTCAACAACCATCTTGGCCTCCTCCAACAAAGTGAACGGTGGGGATGACATCAGCGTGCTGTGCACTGTCCTCGGGGAGCCGGATGTTGAGGTGGAGTTCAGGTGGATCTTTCCTGGACAGAAGGTGAGTGCCACACCCCAGCCTCAGTAGTCGGCACTGAGTTTCCATCACTTAGTGAGAGAGATCAGACTTTAAGTGCAAGGTTTACATCTAAGATGTTTCAGTCTACTTCAACATATACTGTTTTCCAGAAAGAAAAAAAAAAGGATGGCTCTATTAGGTGACTTACTCAAGATGCCTTCCTATGTGTATTTCTCATTGTTCTTAGAGACACAAAAGGGGGAGACTACTTCTATCTGAACTTCCGTCTTCACTCTCATCCACTCTCATCCTCTAGGCCTACCACAGGCTACTTACTATAACCTCCTCCAGGAATCTTCCACAATGCACAAAGCTTCAGAGCCATGGGTGGGAAAAAGGGAAGTGGCATCGGGCCTGTGAATGGCTTGGAGCAGATATTCTCCAAGCGGGCGTTTAAACACAGACCCTGTTCACAAGGTGCGGTGTTGCTATCATCATCTAAAAATGGACTTCTATAAAAGAAAGGGCAGGGTCCTTAGCTCTTGGGCATCTTCTGCTCCCTGAAATAAATGGCTCCGCTACCAGCTTTGTTACCAGAGAGGCTGTCTCTCAAGATAATACTGGGTAGCCAGGAATGGGTGGAAAGGGATGGTCCCCGGAGAGCATTCCTTTCCAGCATCCTGATGCTAGCTTTTTGTTGCTGTTGTTTTTAATACATCGTCACACACATTCTTGCTTTTCAATAGAATGACCTTTTTGCATTGCTGTTATTGGGAGGAAAAGTATTAAAAGTTAGTAATATTGTAATTACCTTTATTGAGGGGACTTTACAAACACTGTTCTTATCGCTGGAGCTGCCTGAAACAGATCTTAAAGGGGACACGCTTCTAGAAGAGGCATTCACGCTGTCAAGGGCATCATCATCCTACCCTTCCCTGGTACAATCTGCCTCCCTCTGCAGTCTCAAGGAACATTAGCCTAATTACTTTCCTGCATCTCCCAAATCAGAGCCACAGGGAGCTGCTGCTTTCCTTACACAGCCAGTGCTCTGGGCTCGTGACCTTAAATTCCATGAATAAGAACCACTTGGCAGGGGAAAGTTGGCAATGTGAGGATGAAGGCACAAAGGGAAAAATCCTGCCTATGCATTTCTGCTTAAGACCAGTTCCCCTTAGAGGCCCAAGATAATCAATCCATTTTACATCTATAACAGAGCAGAAAGAAATCACCAAACAGCATCATGAAATTCAAGACCCACTTGGAAAAAAAAATGCAGCCTTGACTTGAATGATTATACAGTTAGGGGGAAAAAAAAAGCCTACAAGCTGAGCATGCAAACCAGTCTTCAGTGAGCATGTGCTTTGTATTCGAGAATGGGTTGGGTGGATGGGAGCCCAGCAAAGCAGCCTGTCCCCTCTGGCTTCAGTCTGTGTGCCATCTTTAAATAGGACGAAAGGCCCGTGACCATTCAAGACACCTGGAGACTGATCCACCGAGGACTGGGGCACACCACAAGAATCTCCCAGAGTGTCATCACTGTTGAAGACTTTGAGACGATTGATGCAGGGTATTATATATGCACAGCTCAGAATCTCCGAGGACAGACAACAGTGGCTACCACTGTTGAGTTTTCCTGACTTGGAAAGTGAAGTACGGTCAACTGATGGAAAGCCATCTGTATATACAACATCGGGGTGCTTTTTTTTTTTTAGAAAAAAAAAAGAGCTTTGTGGGAGGCCAGTACCAAAGGCCAACCGCTGCCTGTGGGTCAGACAGACATCCAAAACAAACGGAAGTCATCCGTCTATTAAAAGAAGTGCTAACTTTCCTAGAAGAAAAGTGTATTTTGATTACTTTCAACCATGTTTCTCATTTTTATGCCAAGAAAACATGTCAACAACTTTGTGTAATCATTTCTATTAAATGAGCAAGACTTTATAAAAAAAGATATAACCTGCTTGTTGTCTCCTTTGGCTTGTGCATACTGAAGGGCTTGACAGCAATCTCTGTGGTACCCGCTTGTGTTCAACCGCTTACAAGCAACAACTCGAGATCCAAGTGCTTAGATATGCCACTTTATCAAAGCTAATGTGAGTTCATTTATAAAGGTATCAAAAATCACACGTTTTTACATTAAATCGCCACACCAAAAGTACGCATTTTAAATTTCTTAAACAATTTAGCCTTTAACATAACATAGATGAACAGAGTAAGGAAGGTTCAGCTTTGGCTAGATCTGTCTTCAAAAGGACTTGAGACCGCAGCCGTTCCAATTTTCTTACACCATGCAGAAGAAATTTGCTTCGACTAGCCAAAATTCAGCATTTGAATTTCAATAAGCTTAACCGGTAAGCTCAAGCTCTGCGCAAGTCAATCTAAGCCCACAACAAACACTGGCACTGGGTTGGGGAGTTCTGTACACTAGCGTAGGGGCCTGTCTGAGCGGATGAGTGTCGAGAAGGGTATTTTTAACATAACCTAATGCTTTGAAGCGTGAAGTATGTAGAGGCTGCCATCCTTACAGTGAATATTTCAGCGTTATTTATTTGATCAAAGAAAAATACGCTTTCCGTCGCTACAAACTACAGTTGTTCACACAGCCTCATTTTTACGATGTGTCAACAGTTTTGCATCCTACATGAAACGTTTAAAAAAAAAAAAACCTGTCTATTTTGTTTCCTATCTTTTCTCGTCTTCTACCCTCTTGAAGGCATTTTGACTGCTGTCAGAGTGACTTCCCAGACACCGGGATGTCTGGAGGATGGCAGCGAATCGCATGAATTTTTTATCATAGCTAGAGCATAAATGATAAACCCAACTTTGGCTAATGTCGCTGGGAACAACGCGGGACCAGGAGCAGAGAGATTCCAGGAGGCGGCACTGACGCTGCAGCCTGTTATCAGAAGCAAACATGGAAGGTTACATACATCATCAACTATTGGCGATTAGAGACTCCAACACAACCACTAATAAGAGCATGCGTCATAAATATCAACTACGCCGTGAACAGGCCCGCGACAACTCGGATAGCCACCTCTAGCATCCCGGATCGGTCCTAACTCCGGGGTTTTATTAGGCCAGCCATTGGACGCGGGTCCGTGAATACTGACATCACGGCGGTGACACATATGGGCAAGCGGGGATGGCGAGCCACAGCTATCCCTCTACCTTTCCCGGCGTCTTAAGAGTCTGGGGAGGCGGTAAGTGAAATTCTGAAAGGAAAATCAAATGCAGTGTGGAGGAGTCGCCTAAGCCACTTTTCTCACTCTTTGGCTGACCCTTCAGTGACAGGAGGCATGCTCACAGGGGCCCTTAGGTCAGCATCACCGCTCAGACTCTTGTCCTCTTAAACGCGAATCGTTGGCTTAACAAGGTGCTTCTGGCCATTCGTACATGCTGAAGGCCACCTTTACTGACTTCCCTACGGGTTTCCAAAATTTGTACTCTCATATACAGATGTTGGCTTATGGGTTCAGCACCTCGGAGATGAGCTGGCTCTGGAAAAGCACTCTGTAATAAGGGAAAAGAGGTAGGAGGTTTGCTTCTGCGGCTCTAGATGCGGGGAGGAGAGGCAGATGTGGACAATGGGGAGAGCAGATGAAAACTGACCTCTGCGCAGACAGCTTGGATTCAAGGTGAAAATAAGGCGGAAACCACCGTTGGTACTGCCCCCTGTTCTTTATACAGATTTGTGTTTAGAAAAATTAGCGCGTAGCCTGAGAAAAAGGATCGGAGTATCATAACTAGGCTCATAAAAATCTACAGGCAAAGGAAAACTGGTATCAACTAAACAAACTAAACACCAAAACACTAACAAATGTACACACATCAACAAATCAAAAGGCTCTTCCTGTCACAGCCTAGCCCTGCCATGTCACAGTGCCGAGTGGAGTCGGTGGTAACTCAAGGACTAGTGCTTTCACTTCTATGGCTTCTGTTGACACTGGTTATAACTAGAGTAATACAGAGCCAGCTGTTGACCTTTAAGACACAGCAGAGAGGGCTGCGACAGTCACGTAACACACCAGTACACCCATTTCATCCACACACACACACCCCCCCCCTGCCCACAGTCAAAATGAAATTAAAAAAAAATCACAAGAAGGTGTCTCTGGTGAAGAATATTATAAAGGTTATAAATCTTTATCTTAATAGGCCCCTGAGAGTTTCCCCTTATGCTTAGGTGAAGGAAGGCAAAAGAACAAGGTTCCCTTGTTCCGTAAGTGCTTTGTGCAACTGTGTCCACACTGATTCCAAAATCTATTTTCGGAGGAGGCTTTTGGACCAAGTTAAAAAGTCTTCCCCCAGAGCCCCCGACTCGTAAGTAGCCGATACGGTGGTGGCTGCTTTCCAGTTATCCTGTGGAAATTCCAGAAAGCTAGTTCAACTCTTGTTCCCACGAAAGGGTCAGTCCTGCAGACGCGCACCTCAGAGCCTTTGGAGACTCTGCCGTGTTCCGGAAGCGTCATCTGGGCGAGATGCTGGGGCTGGAGAAGGAACCCGAATTCCTGGGGGACTGGAAAGGGATGGCCGCGGATGTGGGAGATCTCTTGGGGCTGCACAGGTCCCCGTTGTGCAGCTTCCACAGCAGCTCCTCGTTCTCCATGGATAGTCTCTTGTTGACCTTTGACTCCTTCTCCAGGGACTCCTGCAGCGCTGCCTGCTCTGTGGAGAGTTGCCTTGGAAAGAAAACGCAAAGACCATGTGGCATCCAAGCGAAATAGTAGCTCTTCCTGTTTAAATATGAAGGTGCAAGAAGTGTACTTGGGGAGAATAAACAGGATCTAGGCCGGGGTCGTAGATTTTTTTTTTTTTTTTTTAAAAGCCAAGAAACCCAAATACTATAGGAAGGCCAACAGCTGGTGGTAGAGGGACTGCCTATCACGTGTGAGGCCCCTGGCTCGGGTCTGTGCCCTAAAAAAGGAAAATGAAACACCCAAATACCAGAAGTGTAAAGCCTGGCCCAAATAAATAATCCCCTTAGTAATAATGGGCAGCTCTAGCTTTCGGGCAACTTCCCAGGAGGCAGTGGGGGTGCTTGCACAAGGCTTTGGCTCATTGGGTGCCTATCTTAGCTCAAAGGGCTGTTCTCTGTTCACATCTGTGATTGCTCCATCCCTGAAAGCCTCACTATGTTGAGTGAGCTCCAGGTCGGGGAGAAGGTCTAGGCCACCTTGGTAGAAGCATTGAACTGCTACCTTCAGAGGGAAATTGGTGCCTCTCTCTGCTTCGCTCAATGCCAGGGAGCAGCAGATGTTCAAGGATGAGAGGAGGAAAAAGACTCTTGTAGTTTTACCTGGAAATGGCCATGTGTTTGTCCATTCGCGCTTTCAACTCCTCGTTTTCCTGCTGGAAGCGCTTCAGTTTGTCGACCAGTGCCGTGTTGTTGTCCACCTTGGTGTAAACGAGTGGTTATGGTCACAAGCAAGCAAATAACTAACTACTTGCGGTGATTGAGTGGGGGGGACTGTAGCGGCACACTCATGCAATGCAGCAAGGCTCTGTAGCGCATCAGGGAGAGTCATAGAGAACCTCGCTGCACGGGTCAAGGGACACGTCTGTCCTGCGGGTCTCCCCAGCCTCCGCACTCACAAACTGATCGGGTGAGAGATTAAAGCATAAGGCCCACGAAGGCATGAATCACTGACCACGGCAGCGAGCTGATTCCCTTCCAACTCCTGTCCTAAAGTATGGTTTATGACTTGTTTGAGAGGTGACATCACAGCTCAAAATTAACTTGGGGCCAGAATTAACCCCAGGTCCCTGTTGTGGCTCATCTGCTTGGATTACAGGGTCTGTCTAGGTGGAACTCTTATTTTTAAGACACGCTCATTGTCCAGAAAATGCTCACGACAAGCCAGTCAGATGAAATAACTTTCTAGAAAAACATCTACAGAATAAAAACGGGAGGAGCTAGGGAAAGAAGAAACACCTTGAAATGCATAGAATAAAGCCTTCAAGATAAAACCACAAACCGAGGTAACTTGGAATTAAAAACAGTGGCGGTTGACCTGAAAATACTATTCTACCAATGTTTTGTTTTATAGAGGTAAAAGCTCGACCTTTGACGTCACAAGGCTAACTACTGACAGGGCTGGCTCTCAGAACAAAGCTTGCTTTCTTAGGCAATGTCCTCATGCTAAGTGTGATGGTTAGTTTGCACTTGACACCACCTAGAAATATCTGGGAAGAAAGAAAGCCTGGATGAAGGATAGTCTCCATCGGGCATGCCGCGGGGGGAATCGGCTTGATTGCCTAAATGTGGGCAAGCACTATCTGGTAGTGGCTGAGACCCCAGGACACAGTAGAAAGTGCTTGCTTGGCCCTAATTCTCGCTGAGATTTTTGTTTACCCTCTTGCTGCTGCTGATTCTGTCTCTGATATTAGAGTCAGCTTCTTCAGGCTTCTGGCGTGGACTCATGACCAGGGGCTCTCCAGGATCCTCCAGGTGGCCTCTGGCACCAGCGTGGAACAGCAGTGGCACCTGGCCTTGTGGGTTGAACAAGGCTCTCGGGCAGCTACTCTGAGTTTATTATGTAAGCCAATCTAGCAAATCCTCCTTTACGTATCCAGTCAGCTCAAAGAGCCTAGTAGACTAAGTGTTCTAACTTCATTAAAGGCCCTGAACTCAAAGGTGCACCACGTGGCAGTGGCCCTGGGTGTACCCGTTGTCATAGCAACCTATCCTGTGTTATAAACAGCAGTGTAAGGCTGACTGATACTTAGTCGGGGCATAAAGCAAATATCGTGGCTCACTAGAAATTAAAACATGTTTATACTTTTATAACAGTTTTTTTTTTTTTAATCACCAGAGATCTGCTAAGTTCAGAAGCGTGAATGGGAGATGGGCCAACAACTTATTAACAGGGTCTCGTGAGTCATCACTGCCTGCCTGCTGAGCGGGTGTAGCGGGCTGACCTTTGCCAAGGCGGGCTACGTGTACTGGGTGGGGCTTATTAACAACCAGGAGAGTTTCTTGCCTTCCTGACCAGACCAAAAAAAAAAAGGCCACTTCCTGTACTTCTGGTGCCTCCGAGATGGGTAGAGGGTGAAAAGTCCCAGCTGTCCATGTCTGCTACCATTCTGACCCCTACATGATAGATGGGCTGTGTGCTCTCGAGCTAGAACTGGGCTGGACTTGAAATGTCAGTTTGGAGACCGCCTCAGTGGCTTGGGAGAGGTTACGCTTCATGGTGGGCAGAGGGCAACCATGAGCCTTGCCGAATCATGATCAGAACTGAAGCTGAGCAACCACTCTCTCTCCGTTCTTAGGGAACAGCGGTTGAGTTGTTCTAGGCCTGGTTTACAGCCCACGTTAGTGTCATTCACTGAAGCAGCTGAATCGTGGGGCTACCCTGTGCCTGCACTCAACTACAGTGAGCCCTCACCCGCACACCTCTGTCGCGGGACTGTGGGGGTGACAGAATATTCTGGATGGGAAGGTGGTTGCTACCTGTGCTGCCGTGCTTGCCTCCACGGGGGTGAATGCCCACAAAGAGAGATACCCCTAATCATCTCTGTGAAGCCACCTATTCCAAGGGCCCCGGAACCCACTCGCCTGCCAAGCATCAGTGTGGGAGTGAGCCCCTTTGTGAGCTTACAGTCCTAGATGAGCCACAAGTTGACCACAGTAATGGGCCAAACAGCAACGGCTAACCAACCTGATCAGATGCTAGGTTTTAAGAAGTCGGCTGCACAGT